CGGGGCGTCGGTCCAGCCCGGCCGGTGCCTCTGCTCGGGGAATGGGCGCGTGTCGGGCGCTGCCTGCAATAACTATCAGCCACCGGGCTGTGTAGCGAGCGGGCACCGGGCAAAGCCCGTCTCCGTCATGCAGTGCGCAGCGCCGAGCACCCGAGGGCCAGGCTGGCGGTCGGGCCTCTGGCTGCTACTTCAGTACAACTAAATATCTCCTCTGAATAGAAGCCAGAACAAGAGCTCGTCTCAAATGTACCTGCCATGCCAAGGGACCAAAAGCTCACTTCCTGTGGGAACAGCCAGGTTCACTCCAGCTGGGGCTCGTAGCTACAAGGATTTATGCTCCAAGACTTGGCTCAGTTTTTTTCATTGTGGAAGAGGGCATCTTTTCCTGGGGAAAGTGTCCAGCTCCTCCATGACTTTGTCAAGCGAGGATATGATGAATATTACCTGTCATCAGTAGGAATTGTGTACTGAGAATATTTTCATGTTATGGGACTTGATTTGCTTTTAAGTATTTGCTGTGTTCAGTGTCTATATAGCACAAATCACTTTGTTTCAAAAAGTTGTATGACTTTCAAAATAACGAAAAGTAATTTAGAAGAAAGGTCTAGAAGATGCAAACAGCAGTGTTCCCTATAAGCTAGATGCTTGGGCAATGTGAGAAGAGTTGTCTCAGAGCAGAAAGTGACTCCAAACTCTATTTGACATGTGTGGAAGGTTGTTGTTCATTACAGAAAGCTTTCTAGACAGAAACAAGTTTCTACGGAAATGTGCTCGCAGATTAGGGCAGTGGTCACCAACCAGTAGATCGGGATCTACTGGTAGAACCAGGAGCCTCTGACCGGTGATCCTGACAAGTTTGGCTGGGAGGCTGTCTTTAGCTGCCTCTCTCCTCACTGGTGTGCTGCTCCTGCTCTCCTGCTTGGAGGTGCCCCCAAGAACCTCTTGCTTGCTGTGCAGGGTGGAAGAAGGGGGTGCTGATGTCAGGATGTCCCCCTCTCTCTTTCCATGTCCCCCATCTCCACAGAGTGAGCAGGGCGAGCCCTTGGAAAGGGAGTGGTGTAAGTTCAGGGCCACAGGGAAGGAGGCAGGGTAAGGGTTTTGGGGTCTGAGGTAGATCCTCGATTGTATTTAAATTCAAAAAGTGATCTTATGCTTTATAAGGTTGGAGACCAGAGGATTAGGGATTCTGTGCCTCAGTTTCTGTATCTATAACACGGGGATAAAAATACTGATATCTGACTGGAATGGAGGGCGTCTGTAAAAATTTCCTGCAAATTGAATTTGCAATGTAAGAACATAAGAATTTTAGTGCACAAACTCTCTCAGAACTGAGGTGCTGTGTAGGCAGTGTCTGAGTGCAATAGCTAACGTTTGAGGAAGGTGAGCTGACATGTGAAACCTGCAACCGTGATGTGACAGGAGACATTCAAATGCCACCCAACTGATTAGCAGAGAACTCACAGCTGCCCATAGCTGGCAGCAAGTGTTTCTATTGGTGGTGCTCATCCACATATGCCTCCGTGCACATATCAAAATTTATTCTATACATGGATGGAAAATATTAGAGGAAACGCTGGTCAGGAGGGGGCCAGGGGAGGAGTGTAAGCAGAACTCCATGTAAAGACTAAACTTTGGGGCTTTCTCATGTTACTTCTAAAACTGGTTGAAATTTTTCATTTAATATGTTTAAAATTGTAAAAATATTTACCTTTTTTCCTAAACAAATGAAGCCAAGACTCAGATTTCTTAATTTACATCCATCAGCTTGATGAGTCTGGCTTGGGGGAATAGATAATAAAGCATTTTTACCTCTAAGTCACCAATTAAAATTAGCCCAGCGTGGTAGTGATCAGAGTCCTTCTTTAATTGCTCTCCGGTGGTCAGTATGGCAACTTAGAATTATGGGAGGGTTTCCAAGTGCAGAAATGAAACAGCTGTTACACTGGCTGATTAATATGGGTACACACACCAGATTGCTTCCCCAACAGATGACAAACATCCTTAAAGGGACACCAGCTTAGCTACTGTATGTCTATCTGGAGTGTTTCTATTACTTCCCGCATCTGCGATTGTTAGAACTGAAGGAGAAAAAGTCTTTTATTGGGAAGCATTGAGGCCCAGTAAGTTGGCCCACTTGTGCCTCAGTTTCTGTATCTATAACACGGGCATAAAGATACGCCTCCCTTGTAAAGTGCTTTGAGATCCACAGCTAACAAGATCTAGTGATTATGAACAATTTAATCTAGCCAGTTCACTATTTCTCCTGCATTATGGACCATCTCTTACACTGATTTGCATTATGTGGCTTTTTCCTGTTGCTAAGCAAGAGGTGGTTTAGGAAAAGTGTAACTAAAGCCAAAAATTGCTAGGGGAACCAGAAGCATCTGAAATGACTTTCAGCTTCAACTCTTTTAAAGCTGATAAGATTTGAAGTTGACTTTGTCAGAGCAAATGGATAGGATACATATTGCACTAGACCACAAAAATAGGAGGTATAATAGGGAAGGGCCACCCTGAAAGCATCTTAAGCTCACTGCCAAAACTCAGCTGTGGAGACTGTCCATAAAGAGGATTCAATCAGTGCCTATGTACAGCAATGGATAAAAGGCAGAAGTGCTTTTACAAACCTGGTGGCTTTGGTCTCACACTGACAAGGGTCCAATTCATATTAGACAGGCATCAACTTTATGAAACCATCACTGCAGTAGCGGTGAGCTGATACTGCACTCAGGACAGAGTTTCGTACAGCTACAGAGCAGTGTGACAAAGCTTGTGTTACCCTTTTTCTGCTGATAACATGTAGAACTTCAGATCCAGGGTGGTCCAACTAGAGCTTTTTTATATGGGCACCTAATTTACTTTATAAATTGCTGTAAATTTCTAGAATGTTAAGTCACATTAGGATACAAATTTTCCCCCACCCTCATCCTCCAGTACTCAAACCAAGTAGCAGGGCTGAATGCTGGGGGGGAATCTAACTCCCCAGATGTGGAACTTCTCCTAAGAGGACCTTAGCAGATGGAGGGAGGGTCCAGTAACAGCACTTATGTTCTTGCCTTGACTAGAGTGGTGATCTTTTGGTGACAGCTGATGGGAAGGTCAGATTTCAAATATTTTCTCTTTGCAGCCAATAATAAGTGTGTATCAAACGTCTTGAATCTAGACCAACAGGAAAGAGTCACAGTCCTCTGGGCTACATGGGTGTGCATTTAATATGACCTTCATATTTCATTCCAGAGCTTTTCAAAAATTAATAGATACACACATTTTGAAAGTGTTCTAAAATAAAAATACTCCTAGGGATGGGGGCCAATTTACATCAGCAGATACGCTGCTGTTTTAGATAAGAAGACATTTTTAATGAGTTTTTAGTGGATTTAACTTTTGGATAAAAAATGGAATGTTGATATCAAATATAATGGAATTGAATTAATATACAAAGTACATACCAGCTTAAGGCAAGAAGGGGCCAATGTGATCATCTATGCCAACCCACTGTACAACACAAGCAATAGGATTTGACTTCACCCATCCCATTCCTTCATTTAGCCCAGCAACATATTAAGGTTAGATGATTTTTCAATGTCTTTTTTTTTTTTTTGTGAAGTTTCAGTGACACAATGGATCCTGGAAACAGAGGAAGAATTCACTGCAATGTGAGACTTATCTGCTCTCTGCTAGTCATGGGAGCATTTTGCGTGACTCCTTTCTTCTGCCAGAGTCAAAATGATCCACTGGCCCTTGGTCGAGCTGATCCCCGGTGCTGGGAGTTCTCCTCTGCTGCCTTGCTGGAGATGAGGAAGCCACGTATTTCTGACTCTGTCAGTGGCTTTTGGGACTTTATGATCTTCCTGAAGTCATCAGAGAACTTGAAGCATGGGGCTCTGTTCTGGGACCTGGCCCAGCTCTTCTGGGATATCTACGTAGACTGTGTGCTCTCCAGAACCCATGGCCTAGGGAGGAGGCAACTGGCAGAGGCTGAAGAGAAAATCACAGCTCTGCATTCTCGTCTCACAGAGAGAAAGCAAGGTTATTAGCTCTCTATCCAATGCATGCACACGTAGAGGTGGAGAAACAGCAGCACTCTTTGTAAAGCTCAGACACCAGATGTCTGACCTTTCCCTCAGGGATTAAAAAGAAGAGGTAGAAGCAGACTATTTGAAACATGTATGAATACAGAGAGGGAAGCTAGATTAATAACCAAACACATGAAGATATACTGTCCTATTAATGCTTTTATGGGTAATGGATGGTCTAGGCCAGCCTTATTCACTAGTATCCTGTTCCTTGAGCAGTCCCATTGGAATCATTGTGGGGTAGGATACTAAACATGCAAACTTTTCAGCCACTAGCTGTCTCCAAGTTCCAGCCAGGGCCTCGTAGACCATATAGGGGAAAAAGCTACATGGAGGCTTAATATCTATAGTACACAGGGATTCCCTTCCGCTTAAGACTGATACTATACAACATGAGACAAAGAAGGATGGAGATTTTTCAACACAGTCAATGTGCACACATTCATAGAAAGGGACTTATATTTTGCTTCTGTTCTTACATCTACTTAGTTTTGTGAGTTGTAATCAGGCCATCTGATTTCTTAATGCTGTTGACTAGCACCTGCTGGTGGTGGTCAGACTGCTACTGTGACAGTCTAATTTTTGTTGTAGAACTATCTAAACTGTCATCCAAGGTCTTGTAGCTTCTTAAAGTCAAGTTGTTCATAGCTTTGTATTTGCCTTGCTTAGTCAGTAAAGCCAAAGTCGATTGTTAGAAGAAGATTGTTATCTTCAAATGATGAGAGAAATTGAACTGCTACTTCTTAAGCATAACAAACCATGCAAGCCTGATTCTTTAGTTTGAACTGAACTACAAGCATTTGAATGAATTCATGGTCCAATTCTGGGTCTAGATGGGAGAGCCAAGGCAACTTTCAGGTGCTTTCTTAGAATGTAAAAATATTCCAAATTTCTCTCTTCATATGTCTATTGTATTTTTTCAGACTCGGTTACTGAAATGATCTTTGTCTCACCTTTTAAAAATATTTTTGATGGCTTATGCCATTTAATCCTAACATACAACAAGGCTGTGTCTACATTGGCACCCTTTTCTGTAAAAGGGATGCTAATGAGATACTTAGGAATTGCAAATGCTGCGGGATATTTAAATATCCCCCGTGGCATTTGCATGAACATGGCTCCCGCTTTTTTCCGGCTCGGGGTTTTGCCAGAGAAAAGTGCCAGTCTAGACGGGATCTTGCAGAAAAGGAAGTAGGAATAAGGGATCTTCCGGAAAAGGGCTTATTTTCCGCAAGGTCCCATCTAGACTGGCGCTTTTCTCCGGCAAAACCCCGAGCCGGAAAAAAGCGGCAGCCGTGTTCATGCAAATGCCGTGGGGGATATTTAAATCCCCCCGCGGCATTTGCAATTCCGACTGGTCTCATTAGCATCCCTTTTCCGGAAAAGGGTGCCAATGTAGACACAGCCCATTAGTATGGATTCAGAACTGTTATAACAGTATTATCGAGAATACCCCACTATCATGTACAGGTTGCACCTCTGAAAACTGGTACTCTCTGGTCCAGCAACATCCCGAGGGCCAGCAGGACCACAGATGCTCCTAGACCAGAGAGTCCGAAAGCCTAATGGCTGGAGGGCCAGCATCCCAGCCGAGGACAGGGGGGCTGGAGGAGCCCCACAACAGTGCTGGGAACCAGGGACTGGAGAACCCCGGCAGCCCATGGCAGAGTGGAGCTGTGGGTTGGGAAACCCCAGACACCTGAGGCAGCACAGAGCCGGCAGCTGTAGAAGCCCAGGCACCCGCGGCAGCACAGGTTCAGGGGCCAACGAAGCCTGGCCGCTTGTGGCAGCCTGTGGCAGCACAGAGCTGGAGAACCCCAACAGCCAGCAACAGTGCTTCCTTTTTCTGTCTCCAAGGCAAACATGTTCCCTTCACAAGTCCAGAGATGGCCTTTCTAATTTGCAGCCTTGCTAATTCAATGTACACTGGTTCTTTCTCACACTTTTGCATGAGGTCCAAATTCTGCCTCCATAAACAGCCATGCAACTTCCACAGTGGTCAATGCCTCCAGTGGAGGGCAACGAAAATGATATGGGGATATGACCTACGAGGAGAGGCTGAGGGATTTGGGTTTGTTTAATCTGCAGAAGAGAAGAGTGAGGGGGGGATTTGATCGGAGCCTTCATTCCAGAGGGTATGTCTACATTCCAGTGTCTTTCTGGAAAAACGGCCATTTTTCAAAAAAACCCTGCAATTATGTCCACCCTGCAAGTGCGTTCTTTTGAAAAAAAAAATCAAAAGAACTGAGGGGTTTTTCTGACATTTTCTTTTGGAAAAATGTGTGTGTGGACAGGGAAGAGGAAGTTCTTCCACAAGAAGAGGAAAGAGGAAAAAGCACAGGTGCCCTGGTGGCCCCTCTGTCCATAGTAATCAGAGCTTACATGTGCGATAGTGTCCATTCAGTGTGGACGCTATCCGTTGAAAAAGCAAATTGCTTTTTCGATGCACTTTTGCAGTGTGGACGCTCTCTTTCAGAAGAAGTTTTTTTGGAAGATCCCTTCCAGAAAAGCTTCTTCCAAAAGACTCCTGCAGCCTAGACATAGTCAGAGAGGCTGAACAGAGGCTGTTCGCAGTAGTGACAGGTGGCAGAATGAGGAGCAATGGGCTCAAGTAGCAGTGAGGGAGGTTGAGGTTGGATATTAGGAAAAACTATTTCCCTAGGAGGGTGGTAAAATACTGGGATGGGTTCCCTAGGGAGGTGGTAGAATCTCCATCCCTAGAGGATTTCAGGGATTGACAAAGTCCGGGCTGGGATGATTTAGTTGGGGTTGGTCCTTCTTTGGGCAGGGGGCTGGACTTGATGACCTCCTGAGGTCTCTTCCAGCCCTAGGAGTCTGTGATTCTTGTACAGGTGTCATTTAATGAAGCTGTAATTACCGGTTTACCATGCCATCTTGCTGACTGTGCAAAATAATGAAACTAATCTAGCTTGTTCTCTCGTACCTATATTGGCTCTGCAGGGCTAGTAGGAGGTGAAATGTAGATTAAATTATGTGAGTTCCTAAAATAAGCAATTCTAATTGTAATACACATAGGGACCAGATCTGTTGACTAAGAAGGTTCTGCTTTTACCTAGAAAGACAAGGTGGGTACGATAATATCTTTCTTTTGTTCTGTTGGTGAGAGAGACAAGCTTTCAAGCTACATAAAGCTCTTCTTCAATTCTGGGATAGGTCCTCAGTGTCAGACCTAAGTACAAATACAACAGATTGTTTACCATAAATATTTGACACACAGTCCACTCAAGGAACCACTCAAAGTGAAGTGTCCCATTAACAGCCCCACATTCATAGGACAAAAAAAGGGGGGAGTGGAGTTACTGTGTTACAGATTGTTTCAATGAGCCATAAATCCAGGCTGTGTCTACATTGGCAAGATTTTGCGCAAAAGAAGCCGCTTTTGCGTAAAATCTTGCCGCCTGTCTACACTGGCCGCGAGTATTTGTGCAAGAACACTGACGTTGTAATGTACAAAATCAGTGCTTCTTGCGCAAATACTCTGACGCTCCCACTCAGGGATAAGTCCTCTTGTGCAACTGTTCTTGCGCAAGAGGCCAGTGTAGACAGGTAACATCAATTTCTTGCGCAAGAAAGCCCGATGACTAAAATGGCCATCGGAGCTTTTTGTGCAAGAGAGCGTCTACACTGGCATGGATGCTTTTGCGCAAAGGCACATGCCAGTATAGACACTCTCCTGTGCAAATACTTTTAACAGAAAAACTCTTCCATTAAAAGTATTTGCGCAAAATCATGCCAGTGTCGACGCAGCCGCAGTGTCTTTATTACTACCATAACTTCTAGCATCTAGCAAGTTCTGAATTTACGGTAAGCTCCTGGGCTTGTTTTTGAAAGTGTTATATGGGTTTTCTTTGCGGATGAGGCCTGAGAGATCAGATACGGAGTGATTGTTTTGTGAAAAGTATTCATGTATGGCTGATAATTCTCAACTGAATGCACGCAGAAAACTAAAAGACAGAAATGCTAAGTGATGGTTTGGTTTCACCCATGTTGTTAGTGGAGCATTTAGTGAACTGGATGAAATCCATCACATTATGAGAGGCATGCTTAGGATTCATGTATATTGAAAGATATAGCGGTGCCCCAGACTAACTGGTATACTGGTCACTCTTGCAGTAGAGGCATAGCTTCAGGTTTTACATCTAATATATCAGGATCTGGAGCTGCATAGAATTGGTGGGTCCCACTTTTCAGACTAGAACTGCACTTAAAAAATCAGTGCGCTGACTTTTGGGTCTCATCCTGTGCTCATTCAAATAAAGAGCAAGATTCCTACTGAATTAAATGGTAAGGGATCATTATGGTGAGAGTTCAATAACTGCAATAGGATTTGGATCCCGTTCTGATTGTGACTGATAGCAACAGACAATATTATGATTCTGCCTTCTTTACCAGGAGAAAGCCTATTATTGTCTTTTATGGCTCATGCTAAGGCTCCAAGATAGGGCACATAATGGAAACACAGATTTTCAAATAATTTGCGAACTAGGAATACTTGAAAACAGAAGGGACACTTCCTTAGTTTTGCCCATTGTAACACTGGATCTAAAGCCAATGATTGGCTCTGATTAGCTGGATACAACATTGATCTTAAATATTTGACTGGCAAAACATGGAGGAAGAAAGATACCCAGGCTGTAGTGTTCCCTTTAAGATTTCCCATCCACGAGTGGAATGAGTTTTGTCTCGTGGACCAACATTGACATTGTGCGCTTGTTTGATGTGCACCACTGTGGCACCCACTAGTAACTAACACAATTATATGTATAGACATACATTTCAATTGTTGTACACAAATATTAAACAAAGGGATAATTAACAATGTGCATGACTCTGCGGTGTAGGAATTAGGGCGGGGAGAGCTCAGGATGGGGAAGGTGGCAGCTCCTTGCTGGGGAGTGGCTGGAGCTGGGTTGTCCATTCCTCTGGCGGCTTCTTGCAGGACTGGGCTGCCCAGACCCCCAGGAAGCTGCTCGCTGTGGGGGAAATGGAGCTGGGCTGCTTGACCCCTCACCAGCCAGCAGCTCTTTATGGGAGGAAGCATTGGGGCTGGGCTTCCCAGCTCCCTCAAGCAGAAGCCAAGGAGGGAGCTGGGGCTGTGCTGCCCAACACGCCCAGCCAGCTGGTTAGCTCCTGGGATAAGGGAGTCGGGACTGCTGGTTGGCGGCTGGCCATCTGGCCAGTGCTGCAGCCGAGAGCCGGGGGATAGGTTTGGAGGCCACGAGGCGGCTCCAGTACCAGCCACTGGAGCTGCTGCCACCACCTGCCATGTGGCTCCAGCTCCGGCAGGGGCCACCATAGCAACCACTGCCTCCCATGCCACCCACTGTAGCTGGAACCAGGGCCAGTGAGGTTGTCCCAACAGAGACAGCCTCACTGTACCCTGGCTCCAGCAAGAGCCAATGGGGGCAGAGCAAGCACCCACTACCAGCGCCCCCCCCCCCCCCCCCCTGCCCCTGCCACTCACCTTCCGGTCCAGCAGGAAGGTGAGTGCTGCTGCACGGCTCTGCAGGTGAGGTGGGCAGGCCTAACAGGTTTGTGGCCATGCAGGCGTGCAGCTAGAGGGCACCCTGATAGGCTGCCAGCCCTACATTGTTTGGAAGCTGACCCTGATTTCCTCAGATATGTTTTCAAGTGCCTTTCTTTTTTTCCTCTCTCCAATTTCCAGGGACATTTTCTCACAATCAGAGGACACGGGTGCTGAACAAGAAAGAGCTGATTGAAGACCTTATAAGCATCTATGTGCACAAGAGTGGATCTGCATTACTCCAAGGAGTTACTGGGGGGGTAGGGATAAAGAGGAAACAATTAGTCTAGTCTGAGATTTATCTGTACACTGGATAGTTTTTTAAACAATTTTCGTTTGGTTTTGGTTTTGAATCTTCATTGGACAGCTGCTGTAGGAGGCGGTAGAGTGTAGCGATAAGCACTGTACCTGTGCGTTAACTTTCACTTGGGGGACTGTCGTAGCTTTTTTTAAATGATGCCCATGAACTGTCTCTTTAATAAACTGCATGATTTATACGCAGCTGGCCATCTTAGCATGTACATAAGCTACTGACGTTTTATCAGAGGGGCTGCTGGGAAGTAAGGTGACTAGTTATGTGACTGGATATATCCAGGCGGAGCAGGGGCTCGACATGGACCTCCGCTGAACTCAACAGCTTTTTGCCTGTATAGATTTAGTTGCATGACTGGGACCAAGTAGCTGCACTTGCTCTGTTTTAATTATATTTTGTATGCATATAAGGCACAAACAGTGGCCAAAATATTATCCTATATAAAAAGAAAAGGCAGTCAAAAGCAGGACCTCCAAGCTTTAAGCTTCCATTTTTTTCTTCCAGAGGTTATTAAAACCCAACCAAACATTCTCCATTCCTTGAGAGAACAGATGTCCTCAAAGTTTACATTTCAGGAAGAGCATTCATAAACAACACTCTCCACACACTATTTTTTACGATGTGCAATGGCAGCTGTTTCCCACTGCTAGCATCTCATCCTGCTCCCCTGCATTCAATAGCATTTTATCTTTGATTTCCCTGGAGCAGGAGCAGGCCACAAGAAACCAAAATGAAACAAAAATCAAAAGAGACAAATATATCCTAATCTAAAGAAACTCACATACAAATGCTTTCTGCGTCTGTTACAGTCAGTGCGCACGGTTACTTTTCAGTTCTCAAGGTTAAGTGGATAAAAGGGAAGCTAGAGCAAAGTTAAAGGGTCCAGTGCTGTTCTGCGACCCCAGGTAAGTAAATTGACTTCCCTGTACAGAACCCACCTGACTTTGCCCCTGCAGCTCAGGATCAGGGTTGGGATCCCAAATACTTATCATGAATGGAGAACTCATAGATACATTGTAGGGAACAGGGTAAGTAGGCTCATTACTAGAGGTGGTTGGAAAATAGTAAATATTTTCCACAAAAAGTTAAAACAAACAAAATTCTCCTTTCAAAAATTTTCATGAAAAGTTCCTAGTTTTTCAACAAAAATGTAAAAATTAAAAAATCCCAAAACGTATTTACCAATGCCTTCTCCCTCTCCAAAAATTGTATTGGTTTTTCACTGGAAAAAAATTGGAAATTTTAACCCAAGTTAATACTGACAACATGCAATTAATCTTTAGAGTGGGGAAAAGTCATTAAATAAAAAATTTTTTTGATAACAAATTTTCTATTACCTGTTTGTGACATAATTTGAATATTTGACAAATTTTGCTGCTTTTTCTGTTTTTAGATTGCCTGCAGATAAATCACAATTTCCTCAAGTTAACATTATTCAGTTTCAAGACTTAGTCAAAACTATTTCAGGTTGGACCTCCCTGGTCTAGCACCCTCGGGACCTGAGCGGTCCTGAACAACTGAGTTTGCCAAACCAGGGGAGATCGGGCCTCCAGCTCTCCTGGGGCTCCCCTCCTGAGAATATCCCAGCCAGTGTACTGCCCCCACCCCACCTGCTGGGCTCTGCTGCCCCAGTCCACTGGTGGCGCACCTCTCCAGGCTGCCAGCGGGGCTCTGCATCCTCAGCCAGCGGGCGCGGGTTCCAGTCAGCACAGCTCTGTGTCCCTGGCTAGCTGGGCTTCTCTCCAGCTTCTGGGCTCACTTAGACAGGCAGAGCTCTGCACCCCGGCCAGCATAGCCTCACTCTGGCCAGCAGAGCTCCACATCCCCAGCAGGTGGTGCTTCTCTCTGGCCACTGGCATCAACCGGCCAGCAAGGCTCCCTTCTCCCAGCCCACTGGCCTTGAAGGCTGCCAGCTGCTGACAAACTCTGCAGTTGGGGATCTTTGGGTCCAGCAACATCTGTGGTCCTGCCGGGCCGTGGATGTTGCCAGACCAGAGAGTCCTGGCCCCCAGAGGTTCAACCTATGGCACTGAATGATCAATGAATTGAAACTGATTAAATATGCAATTCATTGCCAGAATTTAATATTCAAAATTGTGGCAGTTTTAAGGGATGCTTAGGTCACAGGGCATGTTTCTATTACCTGGCTGAATGAGTGAAACTATTAAGCTACATCGGTACTATACATTAGAGGTGTGACTCCCCTGCCCATGTGTGCGTACTCATACTAGCTCTCTGCAAGGTAGCAGGAGTATGAACAGAAGTGTAGCCACAGTACCGTGGATTCCAACAGCATCGGATAAGTTAAGCTGGGCCATGCATGTACCCAAGGCTTTCCTGAGGATTTGTACTTGGCACAGCTCAGCTATACCTCCGCTGCTGCTTGCTGTGCTCGGGCAGCCGCACTGCCTTTTGTCAAGTATTTAGCAGCTTTCAGAAGCTTTAACTGTTTCAGGCTGTCACTATAGCCTGAAAGTGTGTCCCTAGTATTTGCTTGGGCGTGTTGCCAGGACCATTCTTGCACTGTGGTATCAGGGCCTCATGGTGCTGAGTGTTGTACAAACACATAGAAAGAAAGAACTTACCCCACTCAAAGAACTTACCATCCATGAAGACAAGTCAGAGCCAAAGACATACACATATGTACACGTGCACTTGTTATTACTATGGATAGTCATTGGACAATGGGGAGAGCTGGTTGTGTCTCCCAAGTCAGTAGCAGGAGGAAGAGTCTCAGAAGACTCGCTGTCTCTGACATGCAGTAGGAGGGGCCTTCAGGAAGAAGTGACTATTGTCATTTTCTATAATTTAATTCTGAAACAACAGGCCTCTCCCTCTCCTTTCTCCTGATGAATAGCAAGACTGTTGGCAAAAGGTAACTGCTGGCCAAGACAACATTCAGTGTCGGGCCAATCCACCAACCAGCTCTTTTCTGTCATTAAGAAATAATAGCAGCCATTTAACCTTGGAGGTAATGGGCTGGGGAAGGTGTTTGTGTGGGTGTGGGGTTGCAAGACTAGTTGAGTTTATAACTTGAGGTCATGGTACTATGAAGAGGACTGGAAGTGGCTGCAGTAAGGGAATCAATTCATGGTATTACTTTTGCTGAAATAAAAGAATGAGGCAATTAAATGTAAACTTGCCAGTAATGAATTCCTGAAGGAACTGTTACCTCAGGCATTTCCTCCTGTCTGAAGACCTCAGAGCTTAATTCCATTTCATAGGCTAGGTCTTGTTTGTTTTTTACTTGAGCTCAATTGCTTGGCATGAAAATATAACCTCATGGCACTGAAAGTAAGATGATGTTAATGCTTTCTATAGATTCACTGACTCTACATTTGGATCCTGTCACAGGTTGGTTTGTGCTTTAAGAGGAGTTGGGCCCAGCCTTGCCTGAGAGGGTAATAGCTGTGTACCAGCTGCTCCCAATATAGTGATTTAATCAGACCTAGGGATGCCTGCCGTGAAGGGGTCAGTGCAAACTACAAAGAGGCTATGTCTACACTGGCGGGTTCTTCCGCAGAGCATCCACACTGCCCGCCTGCTCTTGCGCAAGAAGATTTACAGTAAAGCGTGGTAAGAGAGGGGTTCTTGCACAAGAGCTACGTTCTTGTCTAACAAGTGTAAGCTCTCTTGCGCAAGAGGGCAGTGTGGACGCGTGGCAGGGGTTTCTTGTGCAAGAAAGCTCTATGGTTAAAATGGCCAACACTACTGCAGTGAGTGGAAGTGCAGCTAATATGTAGTAAGAAGAAATATAGCTGCCTCCCTGCCAGCCTGACACCACCACATCCTGCCACCCCACGAGTTGCTCTGCTGTGAGCCACAGGTGCTGTAAGCAGCTGCTGCCTTTTCCTTATTATTCCTCAATCCTACCATGATAAAGTACATCTACACTCCACAGATGTACCCATGATAAAGGGGACATCTACACTCCACAGCTATTTCGGGATACCAGAGCCATTATTTCAAAATATTTTTTGAAATAACAAGCATGCTATTTTGCTATCCCGGTAAACTTCGTTGCATGACGGTTAAGGGATGGCTCGAAATAGTGCGTTATTTCAAAATTTGGTGCTGTGTAGACAGTGCCAAATGACAAAATAAGCTATTTCAAAATAGATTCAAGATAAGATACTCCATTAGCATATCGCTAATTACGCATCTTAAACTTGAAATAAAACACTACGAGCTTTTTTGGCAGAAAATATGCTAACGAGGGACTCATTAGCATGAGTCACAACACCATTAGCATATTTTCTGCCATTTCTTTTTGTGCAAGGGGTTTTTGCACAAAAAGAAGCAGTATGGACGTTTCCTTTTTGTGCAAAAACCCTGTTTTTCACAAGATCCTTATGCCTGTCCCAAAGAGTGCATACTGCTTCTTTTTACACTGCTGAAAAAACTCGTAGTGTAGATGTAGCCTCAGTGAGTACTGTTATCACTTCTGGGGGTGAAGTGTCAGTAGAATGCATGGGGATTCATCCATTTGAAACTTGAAAGTGCAAACCTTGAAGTCCTCACTCAGATTTTTCTTTGGCCAAGTCTCAGACTTCAGTGTGAGCTGACCTGTGGCAAACCTGAGTAAAAACAAAGTTAAAGCTTCCGTCTTTAGTCCCTTTTATTCATTGGGAAGTGAGCAACCAAATAGCTATGTCCCATATGAAAATGTCCTTCTTTATGTTGTAATCTGGAGCCATCAAGTATATTGTCCAAGGCAAACAGGACTATGTACTATATTGTTGCTATTGCTAAGGCTACTAAGATCCTATCCAGTTCTTAGCTCGCTCCCCCCCTCCTTCTGTCTCTCTTTATGGGGATACAGCTGTACTGTCATCCTATTGGTCCCTACTATTCTGCCATTTCTTCCATTTCTTCTTGTATTATCACCAGCCAACTAGTATCTGATCTTTAATGTCCGTTAGCTCCTTCCCTTCATTCATCATATGTATTGTGTGACATCTGTTAAGCATGATTTGATACTTCTGTGACCAAAGCCTATAAGAACAGTTAGGAATGTTTGTTACCATGATCACTAATTTAAAGGTCTCTTGAGTGGCTAGCTGAGAACCTGCCAAAGGAAAACTTTCTATTCATCTTAATTTGAGTCAGAAAGCCCTCTTTATCGTGTTGCTTTATAATCTCATTAAAGACTTCTAAAAAACAGAACTTTTCTAGGCAGCCTTAAAAGACTGCTTCTCTTTGTTAATCTCCATGTTTCAATCGGTGTAAATGTTGCTGCATTATTTATGGAGCTCTGTTTGAGCGTATGAACTCCTTTACTTTATCTTCTTCCGATAGCGCACTAATTTCCCGCATGCTGAGTTCTTTTTCTAGTCCTTAAAGCCATGAACAGTCTCTTGTGCTTAAAGTTTGGTTTCTCAGGGGTAGATTCTCAGCTGGTATAGCACTCTTACTTCACCGATAAGTGATCCAGGGCCGACTTATTCATTAAGCACTGCAGTGGCATGGCATGGCCCTCAGTCCTAGCTGGTCCGGCTGTGGAGAAGACACAATAGGGAAGGGCAGTCAGTCCTCCCTGCACACACTCACACCTGAGGTCATGCCCTCCTGTGTGAGCAGCGCCCACACCAGTCCGCGGCCCAAAGGAGAGGGATGTCCCAGGTGCAAGGTCATGTGTGGCCTACAGAGCTCGCCTATGTCCCAGGGGCCCCAAGGTGGTCAGAGGACTGTGCTGCTCTCTTTAGCCCTCCCCCCGCACACACACAGGAGGCAAGGGAAGTGTGCAGTCAGAGTGGGATCCCTCATGGGCAGCAGAGGAGCCGTGTGCAGCCTGTCCCTTCCTGGGATGTGCGCACACAGTTGCAGCTTGCTGTGGTGTGTGTGTGTGTGAGCGACTGCTTCCTTGCACATGCAGGCATGCTTATGTGCTGTGTGCAATGGTCCAGGGCGTGTGTGGGGTCATGCCTGCACCCTTGCAGCTAGCCTGCTTGCAGCTGGCTGCACACCCCCTCCCCGCTGGGGGCAGGACTTCTGTGGCCAGGCATGAGGCTTGCAGCAGGCTCCCAGGCACGTGGTTGCACGTGCAAAGACTGCAGCAGCATGTGCTGGCCTAACAGCCTGTGAGACACTGTGTGCCCCCCCCCGCCGTGTGTGTGTGCGTGCGTGTGCACATGCGTGTGCGCACCAATGTACCTGAAGATCCGAGGCGGCCTGGGAGATGTTCAGGCTGGCAGGGACTGTCTCTAGGGACAGAATAATGGTTCTGCTGTCCTGATAGTCATCATCATCCTTCTCCTCCTCCTCCTCCGTCGGGGGCTGGACCTGCACCTCTGGCTCCTCCGCTTCGGGTACAGGCTCCGGAGCCCTGGAGTACAGGCTGCTCCATCCTGGAGTCCACCAGGATGAAGGCGGAAGAGGGTTCCCCTCTCCAGGATGCGGTGGAGTTCCCTATAGTAGGGGTAAGTGTGGGGTCCTGCCCCTGAGTGCCCCCTCCACTCCGCCGCCCTCACATATCCCTGACGGCGCTCCTTCACCTTGGCCCGGACCTGGTCCTCGCTCCGTCAGGAATGTGGCCATGTGGAAGTAGATCTTGGCTCTGCGCCTCTTTGCCCGGGGTTCCTGGAGCAACTCCTCCTTGTCCCACAATTTGAGGAGGGTCATGATTTCTCCAGATGACCAAACTGGGGCACAGCACTTGCTTCCCCTGGGGGGGTGGTGGTCCAGGGAGCCCTGTGGGTGCTCCTTGGCAGGGTCAGGGGGGTCTTGGGCACCTGCTTGCTCTGCCATTTTCGCCGACAGAGAGCCACACGGCCAAGGCACCTGCTGTGGGCAAGCTTCCTGCCAGAATGGCTGTGCAGGGTGCCTGCAGTTTTAAGAGGGGCCAGCAGACAGGAACAAGAGAGTTGTGATTGCCTGCTACTGAGCATCCAAGAGGCCACCTGTGTTTTGTCCGGGAGGCCAGTTCTTGTGCAAAAACCCCTCTGGAGAGTCCACAGACCTTTTTGCGCAAGAGCTGTAGCACAAAAAGGAGTTACTCCTCGTGGGGAGAGGAATGACTATAGTGCAAAAAGCCCTCTGTCCTGCCATTTTACTGTAAAAGTTCTTGCACAAAAATGCGCTTGAAGTGTGGATGCTCCACTGGTTTTTGCGCAAAAACCTTGTAGCGTAGACATAGCCTCCATGTACAAACACCACCCTTAATTATTGTCAATGTTCTGAATGTGTTGGAAATATATTCAGAACTTGTTTGCAGATGACTCTGCGACTACACTTGCTAGTAACAAAAGAAAAACAAACATTTTTCTTTTCTAGTGTTCAAAGTGCTTTGAGTAACATTAAGCTCTTTAACAGTTCCAGGTTTATTTTTATATATACATATTAAGTAAGGGAAGGGGCTTCTAAGAAATGAACTGCTTCTAATTTGTTCATAGATCTTCCTTCTCACCAATTAAGTCGCTAATTTAGAAAAATGAAAACGCCTAACTGTCAGATATTAGAGACAATGGGCACTTGGAGAAGATGGACAACTAAGGATTTACTCCTTCTATTCCGTGCTTCTCAAACTGATACAATGTGGATAGCTTTAGCTCACCAGTCTCATTGATATGTTATCTGCCACATGTGCATGTGGGGGAAAGAATACCGCTTCCCAAAACACAAGCAATTATCAGATATTATAGTAATGAAAAGATAGTACAGGCCACATCATCAACTGTGTATGATAGCATAGATTCACTGAAGTCAATGGAAGCATATTGATGTGCATTGGCCAAGACGTGGCTCTATATTTTCTTTATTTTAGGAATAGTCTAGGAATACATGGTACTTTTCGAAGGGAGAATTCCTTCTCTAACACCACAGAAGACTCCATTCCGTTAGATTACGACAGTTCAATATCTGAGCATCTTTAGAGATGACACATGGCTGTAATTACCTGGGCAACAGTACAGTGAAGTAGTAAGGCTAATACTGGCATCCCATTACTTCCAAGCTGGCAAAGTCACATGGTTGATAAGGTCAGAGAAGGACCTGCAAACATGCCCAGATGTGGAGAGCAGATTGTGCTTTGTAGCAGACTGCTGAGCTGGAAAAAAAAGAACTCTTTCAGAACACCTGAATGCAGCAAAATCCCTGAATGACTCTCAAACTCCAATTCAAGGTAACTGTGGAGGGGGGATAAACGGCTTTATCCTCTGGCTTTCCTCCTTATATCCTCATTACTGAAAGTAAGGCTTGCTGAAAGTGCCTTGGCCTGGCATAAGGCTTAATAGAATGTTATTGATTTCAGAATATAAGCAGTTTTAAATGATTTTTAAATCATCCTAGCTCATTTTTACATAATTATTTTATCTTTTCTCACATCCAACTTCCCTCTGCCCTTGAAAACCCATCCACTGTAATGCAGATGACCTGTGAATCTAGCCACTTCTGGTCAGAGAGAGACCGATTACTACAGATTCTTCAGAATCCCAGGTTACTCCCTGGGAACACTGAGACTGACTGTCTGCCATGAATTTCAGATTTCCCTGTAAAAGTTCTCTGGTAATGTTAAGGGTTAGTTACTGCATGTCTAGAAACAAAAGACACTTACGCAACAAATCTCATCAAATTAAATTCAGATTGATGAAAAACAGCAGGTGCCATCATTACTATGATGGGACTCCTGCAAAAAGGAGATATGAAGGCACATCCCCTCTTCTGAAAAATGGATGTGAACTTTGTGGCCGTCCTTTTTAGACTAATTTTGAATCAGTGAAAGAAATTCAGATGAGAATTCAAATTCTTGGGGAAGTCAAGAAAATGAGCACACACATCTA